CCCGTATACATTGTCTCCCATGTACTCCCGTATACATTGTCTCCCATGTACTCCCGTATACATTGTCTCCCATGTACTCCCGTATACATTGTCTCCCATGTACTCCCGTATACATTGTCTCCCATGTACTCCCGTATACATTGTCTCCCATATACATTGTCTCCCATGTACTCCCATATACATTGTCTCCCATGTACTCCCGTATACATTGTCTCCCATGTACTCCCATATACATTGTCTCCCATGTACTCCCATATACATTGTCTCCCATGTACTCCCGTATACATTGTCTCCCATGTACTCCCGTATACATTGTCTCCCATGTACTCCCGTATACATTGTCTCCCATGTACTCCCGTATACATTGTCTCCCATGTACTCCCGTATACATTGTCTCCCATGTACTCCCGTATACATTGTCTCCCATGTACTCCCGTATACATTGTCTCCCATATACATTGTCTCCCATGTACTCCCGTATACATTGTCTCCCATGTACTCCCGTATACATTGTCTCCCATGTACTCCCGTATACATTGTCTCCCATGTACTCCCGTATACATTGTCTCCCATGTACTCCCGTATACATTGTCTCCCATATACATTGTCTCCCATGTACTCCCATATACATTGTCTCCCATGTACTCCCGTATACATTGTCTCCCATGTACTCCCATATACATTGTCTCCCATGTACTCCCATATACATTGTCTCCCATGTACTCCCGTATACATTGTCTCCCATGTACTCCCATATACATTGTCTCCCATGTACTCCCGTATACATTGTCTCCCATGTACTCCCATTTACATTGTCTCCCATGTACTCCCGTATACATTGTCTCCCATGTACTCCCGTATACATTCTCACCCATGTACTCCCGTATACATTGCCTCCCATGTACTCCCGTATACATTGTCTCCCATGTACTCCCGTATACATTGTCTCCCATGTACTCCCATATACATTGTCTCCCATGTACTCCCGTATACATTGTCTCCCATGTACTCCCGTATAGTAATGTCGTTCACAGTGCAGACGTGTTCCACTCGTCAGGTAAGTGTCGGAGTAACGTCGCTGTGGTGTGTCGGGCTCTGATAACCTCCCCCCCCCTTTGTCTCCTCACACTCCCAACACCTTTAAATTTTTATTTTGCCCCGAGGTGCGAGTTTATCGGGCAGCGCCACTCATCCTGTGAGTGGACACACCGCCATAGTGACAGTATCGGGCAGCGCCACTCATCTTGTGAGTGGACACACCGCCATAGTGACAGTATCGGGCAGCGCCACTCATCCTGTGAGTGGACACACCGCCATAGTGACAGTATCGGGCAGCGCCACTCATCCTGTGAGTGGACACAC